CTCGTCGCGTACGTCCGTCCACGCCTCTCGCTGCAAGGCGTACAAAGGACGTGCGAAGACATGCTGCAGCACGCCATTCGCCTCGGCTCGACCGACAATGTGTCGGCGATTATTGTCAAGTTTCACCACGTAGCATCCTAGTTTGTCGCGTCGACGTTGGTTATGTAATATTATTTATCACTCTTTTCATGGATGGATACGAGTTATTCGACTGCTGTACAAGAAATGGCTTTACGAGAGCGACTATTACCGAGGCTCGGCTCGCAGCAATGGCCGAAGCTCAGCGTCGTGGGTTGCGCCATTGGCGCCGAGAAGTAATGGGTGGCAACATGGGACAACCAGCGCGATGTCCCGTGCACTTTTTGTTTCGGACTTGTCCGAATTGAACCGAATTGAGCACATATTTTGTACCTGCACAGTATTGCGCGCCGGCCTGCTATCAGCAGGCCGCCGCAACTGCAAGCTGAGTGTACTCACAGCACCAGCCTCTACATCTCTTCCTGTGCACGAGCTCGGACTCGTTGTCGCGCAGCTGGAGCGCTGCGTGATGTCGCAGCGCATCACATCCGAGAGCCCAGCTCGTTTTGGTTCCAACAGCATCTTATACGGAGGGATGCGCTCGATTGTGGGACTACGATCTCGGGTGGCTTGACGATGTGGGCGGGATGTGGCGACGAGCAATGTAATAATAGCGAGGACAATTCGATGTGGCTGGATGTGTGAGGTCCTCCCACACGTGTAAAATTGTTGAAGCGACCAGATTGCAAGGTGAGAGTTTGAATCTGAGTTGAAAGGACTGGGTGCCACCAACGAGATGGCTTTGTCCTCCGTGATGCAAGGCCGTCAGCGTTTCCACATGGTACCCTCCTCGGAATCGAGATGTGCAAGGCTGGGAGAAGAAAATGGATGGCTGGGACGCTGCTACATGTCGGACAGATCCGGCACCGTGTAGGGCACTTGCTACGACCACCGTAGGACACAGCTTCAATGTTTCTGGTTCGACCCCTCGTTGTCTTCTTCGAGCCAATCAATGTACCGGTACGTTCGTCCAATGGAAGATTGCTCCGCGTCTCCAGGAGCGCGTCGTTTCCGAATGGGCGTCGCTCGTGGCCGTCTTGGATCCAAGCGTTCTGGATGTGTACATCGATCACAGCCGTTGAGATATGTCCGATGCCAGCAGCGCGCCACGTCATGGAATGACGTGGCGTCGCGAGAGACGGCTTGAGCCGCCCACGATGCATCATGTCTTCATGTGCATCAAAACGCTTCGAGGATGCACGTATACGACTTGGAAACACATTGTGCCACGGCGTAGTCGAGTTTCCTTGTGGCCCTCAATAAGGTCTTGGGCCTGCGCTTCGACGGCCGCTCGCAAAATGCTTTCGCATTGGCAGAGACGCGAGGTGCCTTCCAACATACGAGGTGCGTTCGGCAAGCATCCTTCTAGAGCTTGCAGAGCAACTTGGTGCATCCGTCTCGTCGCCTCGCTGCACCACTTCCTTCGACACATGAAGGGTCGGTCGTAGCTTATGCACACCATTTTATGAGTCCGACCTTGCTGAAACAGAAATTACTGTGGTCCGGTGTCATCACAACGTCACCAAGCTCTCTATATACCATCTATATACCATCTCCGAGGCTGTCGAATTCCACGATACCTTTATGTACGACCTACGTATCGACCTCTTTCGAGAGTTGAGCAGCTATTACCATGTCAGTCATCCCACGCGGCGTTGTACGTTCTATTTTGAGTGTACGCTATTCGTTCTACCTGCTTCACACTATTTTGAAAAAAGCGTTTCGGATCCGGATACGCTGCGAGCGTCACGCACTTTCCAATATGACCGAGTGGCAGACCGTGACTTTCGACGACGTCGCGCCGACGCCGTGGAAGAATGGCGGTGGCGAGACGCGGCAGCTCGTGGCGTGGCCGCAAGGCGCCGACGACTGGG